GGTCAGCTTCAAGCAACTGCTATGCCCTGAAAACTCCTAAGTCAGCATTTTACTGAGTTATAGGGTCTCTATTCAACACGTGCAGCTCGGATAATGACACCAGGTATTGAGAAAGAAGTTTCATTTGTGAACTGATTGACATGGAATTAGGAGATATACTCAACTCTATCTCCCCGATTAGGGAAGGAATTCAAGTTATGTAGGTTTTGAGGACTAGGGTTGAGAACTTGAGAACAAAGGAGTTAAATTTTATTGGCTGAGAAGCAGATTAGGGGTAAAGAAATGCGAACTTGAAAGAAGCTTATTGGCTAAACACAGGGCACTTCACACATGAAGTATGAAGAGGGTTTTCTTCACGTGGGGTTTTGAGCTTCTGTTGGTTGGCTCTGGCTGCCAGGGATTCTTCTCCTGTGTTCTCAGTCCCCAGCCAGCCATGGAGATCAGCTCAACATCATTTGCTTTTATTAGCTCAGGCTGTGTCAGATAAATTGTGTGTATAAATATATAATCTCAAAGAGGTTAGCTAAGTTTTCTTTTCTCTCTCTCTTTTTTTAAGATTGATTTATTCATGCATATAAGAAACAGGGTACAGGCCAGAGGTGTGGGAGGGTGAGAGGAGTCACCAGAGACAGAGTGGGGAACAAAATAGGCAGACTGACTGAAATACACTGCTGAAGGGATCAGTGGGCGAGACAGGACAGGTCTGCTGCGCCATGTAGGTATCTCCGTGATCGGCTGGGAATCAAACCAGCACTGCAGAGGCTGCAGACAGCTTCACAGGGCTGCGCTCAACCTCCTGCACCACCAGAGAGGCCCAAGTTTTCTTTTCTCTCTTATGCTTCAGGGCCTGAGACCAATTTAGTCACTTAGCCTTGGATTCAAACAGAATAGTATTGGCCAGGTAAACACCTCCTGCCCCTTCTTTCTCCTCCCTCTGCGGTCCCTACCATGAACCCAAAGCTGGGGGAGGGAAGGAGGAGAAAGAGAAACTCCAAATAGCAAACAAAGGAAATGTTCTCCTTTCTGGTTCCAAGTGGGAAAGAGAAGGAAATCCAATATTCAGGGACATATGCTTTCCAACTATTGAAATGATTGTTGATGTAAATAGATGTTCTCATTGTCTAAGCAAGATCCTAAAAGTCAGTGGCATCTACCTGAGCTTCTTCCCAGGAGGAAGGGACCAGCCAGTTCCATAGCAAGGGTTTGAAGAGGCCCTCAGGGAAGAAATAGAATTGTTTTCTGACTTTAGCCTGTGAGTCCTGCTTGTTCAAAAAGAATTACAGGGCCTCCCCGGTGGCGCAGCGGTTGAGCGCTGGGTTGCGAAGCTGCCCACAGCCTCTGTGGCGCCAGTTCAATCCCCAGCTGCTCCCCGGCCACCGGAGGAGGGTCCCACATGGCGCGCAGACCTCTCCTGCCGCCCGCTGCTCCCCTCAGCAGCGTACCTCGGTCCTTCTGCCTGCTCTGCTCCCCGCTCTGGCTCTGGTGAATTCTCTCACCCTCCCGTGCTTCTGACTGTACCCAGTGCATGTATAAACAAAACAAACAAACAAACAAATAAATAAGTAAAACATGCCTCTATAAAAAAAAAAAAAAGAGTTACAAAAAGAATTACAGAGAGATCGAAAAGGGGGGCAGAGAAGAAAACTACCTAAAAAACAGAAAACAGGATCCAAGTGAAGTCAAAATTGCTGATGCTTAGAACTCTCTGGTCTGGTACAATATACAGACAACAGGGCCTGCAGGCTGAGGATCCACTGAACAGCCCGCTCACTTTTAGTAGTGTTTAGATATCTGTTAGAGTTCTGTCTTTTACCAATAACATCTACATCAGTTCTCCTTACTCAGAACTGAAACCATCCATGAACATTTATTATTGAAATAACTAATCTTCCTATGAACACCATCAGGAGAGAGAGGGAGAGAGAAAAGAAAGTAAAGGAAGGGAAGAGGCGGGGAGAGGAGAAAGGGGTCGGAATAGGAAGGGGAAGACACAGGGAAGGGGAGAGAGAAGAGGAGAAGGCAGAGGAGAGGAGGGGAGGGGGCGAGGGGAGGAGAGGGGAGGGCAAAAGTTGAAATCAGCAAGTCAGCAAGCCAAGGAATGAAGAAGCCAGGAAAACAATGACAAAAATACTAATCATATGTATAACAAATATTTATTGGGGACTCTTCAAATACATGATCTGATTTAATCTCTGACAGGCTCCTGAGTATGGTGAGACAGTATGATGGGGGAGGATGCAGGTTTTGCACTTGGAAATATGCCTGGCATGTTACAAGCACTCAATATAAGTTATTTTTACCCTGAGATAGGTGCTACTATTATCATATTTTACAGGTGAGGAAACTGAGACTTGGAAAGGTTAAGTGCAGTTATGTATCACTTAGTGTTTCAGTCGGTGGTGGGCTGCCATGCCATGGTGGTCCCCGTGACGCGGAACAGACAGTCCAGGTGTGTGGTCAGCTGTGCCATCATACAGTCTGTGACGTGTGCACAACCCAATGCATTTCAGAGCACCCCCACTGTTAAGTGAGGCATGACTATAATTACCACAAACTACTATGGGCACTTTGGTAAGTAAAGGATGAGGCAGGATTTGAACCCAGGGGTCTGACTCCTAGGTACTCACTCAACTCCTGATGTAGACCAGGTTTTTGTTTTTGTTTTTTTTTTAAAAAAAGATTTATTTATTTATTTATGCATACAAGAACTGGGGTACAAGCCAGAAGTGCAAGGAGTGGGTGGTGAGAGGATTCACCAGAGACAGAGTAGGGAACAGAACAGGCAGACTGACTGAAATACACTGCTGAAGGGAACAGTGGGCAGGAGAGGAGAGGTCAGGAGAGGTCTGCTGCGCCATGTGGGTCACCTCCCTGGCTGGGGATTGAACTTGTGGCTGCAGATTGCTTCATAGTGCTGACGCTTAACCCCTTGCACCACCAGGGAGGTCCCTAGACCAGGTTTTGACTCCCACTTGTCTCCCCTTCCACCCTCTCTCCTCCTGAGACCCAGCCTTCCAAGATGCTGGCTGTGTGTTTCATCTTGGTAAGGCCCTGCTGCCAGTCAGTGACCAACCAAGCCCTGAGCCAAAGGTGAGGCTGACAACAGGGACACTGAGCATGGCACTGCCTGGGGCCTTGAACTTTGCAGAGGGTTTTAAAGACTGAAAAGGTGATGGACAAATTATGGCCTGGTAGAAGTCCAGTGAACAATATACTTCATTCAGTGTGGACTTAATGAGCAAGAAATGGAGAGGAAGAGAGAGTAGAAATCACTGTCTTTGGATATCACTGTCACAAATGATGGTCTTCTCCATACCCAGATTAGCAGCTATGACCCATTGCTGAGCAGAAGGTAGAGTTGGGTGCAGAGATGGTGTGGAAGCTGCTTCTTGACAACTTTGAAGAGCTGGAGCTGGTGAACAGGATTCTGGAAGAAAGAAGATGGGCAGAGAGGACTGGGCTACTCTAAGACAATGAGCCCAACACCAGTTGTCCCAGAGGCAAGGCGTTCAATTCTGGCCCAACTTCCCCTTTCATTTGGGTTTCAATTGTATATGACAATGTATCCTTTGGAAATACCAAATAAATCCTACACTGAGATTCCAACTTCCCCCACTCCTTTATTTCTTCTCTCCCCCAATCCTTTCTCTGGACCAGCTCATTCCAGAAAAACAATTTAAATATGTGTGGATCCAAAGTGAACTCCAGGTCTCAGGTCTGCCAGGGACATAAGAGCAGAGCCATCTTTCCAATAACCACTTCAGATGCTTCCTGGCAACCCCACTCTTCATCCTCAAACTCAAGCTCTTCTCTTTTTAACACAGATGTTCTCCTGTTTCCTCAGGGCCCATTGATGGTAACCCCTGGGAGTCACTTTTCCAAGTTTACTTAATTTTCCGTGCCTCGTCAACCAACCCCCATAAAATTGCCCATTGATGGTAACCCCTGGGAGTCACTTTTCCAAGTTTACTTAATTTTCTGTGCCTCATCAACCAACCCCCATAAAATTGCCTCTCTGCTATTTCTCTTATTAGCACCCTCTGCCTACTACCACTGCTTTCCTTCAGACTGGAAATTTTATAACTTTTTTGAAACAGGTCAGTTCAGCTTTTGCCTCCAACTCCATGATATTCCCCACCATCCATCTCACACTTTGCTGTCAGGAATATCTTTCCACACCTTAGACATGATCATATCACAAGCATTTTAATCAAAACTCACTCATGATTCTCTAGGGAGTGATTGCCAAGATGAACTTCCCGGACCTGAGCTCAAGGCACCATGTTGTCTGAGCCACTTGCCTTTCCCACACCAATCTCCTATGACCACCCGACACATCCCTATTCCAACCACAAAGACCCACTGACCAGGCCTTTGAAAAGCAAGGACAGAGCTTTCTCAGAGGCAAACAATCCTGCCCTCAGGCAAGATCTGGGGTTAATCCAATGGATCAAGGCTAGCTGGGAGCATCAAACCAAATTTCTCCACAACAGGCAGGGTTTACCAGGAGCATCAAGGGGTGGCCATGCTCTGACTGAAAAAACCATCCCAGAATCCAACAAACAGTGAGCTACAGGCAGGAACATTGAGAAAAAGAGCTAATATAATCCTTGGACTTGGGCCAGGCAGTGACACTTACAGAGTTTCAGAATCTCAGAAAACTAGGGCAGAAAAGAGAATTCTAGTCACAGAAGACTATAACCACTCCAAGGAAGCCCTCCCAGAAAGGCAAGCAGAGGCAAGACCTAAGAGTCAAAATTTCGGAATGGGGGAAGGAAACACACGTACACCCAGCTTTGCTGCTGCTAACAGTGAGACCCCCTTTCTTAGGGGCCAGTACTCTTCACCATAGTGTTATTCACCAGTAGGAGTTTTTTGAGGGACCTGGGGAGGGGAAGGGACAGCAAAGGAGGTGATGAATCAGTCCATTCTCACATTCAAGGCCGTGAGTTGAACTGGGAATTCTGGAGTCACACAACAATCGCTACTCAATGATGCAGTGATGAGGTCACAAGTGGGGCTCCCCTCTCCCCCACCCCTGGTTTCCTCAGTCAGGCAGAGGAACCAGAGGGAAAATCCACCTTCCCGAGCACAGCCATACCATCCATCCCATCTGACTACTTGTCAAGTTCACTACCACCACCAGGGGTGAGTTCCTTTGGACAAACGGAAATGGCTCCTTTCCCCTCTCCTTTCCTGAGAGTGGCCTAAAGCACCCTGGGCCCTGAACGAGGCTGAGATGATGACTAGGTTTGGGTGAAAGTTTTCTCTCATTTTCAGTAGCAAGAACTCACTGGAAATAGAGATTAACTACGGAGTTCAACTATGGAGTTCAATCTGCCTGTCCAGAGAGCAGTGCTAATTTTAAAACTACATTAGATAAAAAATTATTTGTATATTGTTAAAGGAAATTAAAGATGGGCCAATTAGACCCAACTTGAAGGTATTGTCAGGGACCAAAAAGACATGTCCACTTCTAGAAGTCTTAACTCAGGGTAAAACTCAGCTGTGGGGGGAAGGAATTCCTTCTGGAAATTGTGTCAATGGTTCCAACATTGATTTTTCAAAGAAGCTGGAACTTCCTAGTCTACTTCATCCTCTCCAACTTCTTCCCTTCCCCTGGTCACTGTGGGGCTGGGGGGAGGTAGTTCCGCAGGGCCCAGTCGTGATAGGGATTCAACTGCCACCCCTTCCTCAGTCCTTGAGTAAAGAAAGCAGCCCTCAAACTTCGGGAGGAGTGTTTAGGCAGGACACAGAGTTGAAAGCAGTGTCCTGTACCCACTAATAAACCCTCCATTGCCTCTCCAGGGGGTGGGGAGGTGCCCTTGCAGGAATTCTTTAACACCTTGATTGCCGCGAGCCTTTCACAATCAAAGTTCACCATAGACTCCTAAGAATAATGTTTTAAAATGAAAACACAAACCACATGGGGTTGCAGAAGACACCTACTGCATTGATAAATATATGGCCAAATGTGTTTATGGCATGGGAGCAGGGGGTGTTGGAGTCCTGGGAACTGAGGTTAAGAACTCCTGCCAGGGGCTATAGAATGGGTATAAGAGCAATGAAAGGGAAACAGGATCCGGGTGCAGAGGTCAAGAAATGCTGTCAACCCTCTACAGGCAAGAGGATGGGTTTCAATAGGAACTTTGTCTCAAGCCGGAGCACCTCCCAAGAATCTTTCTAGAGAGCAAGGACAGGCAGGAGGAGGCTGTGTAGGGCTCTTCCACCTTGCAGTGTGGTCCCCCACGTATAACCTGTTGCATATGTCTTTGCAGGATCTAAAAACACATTAAAGAATGTCAAGTGATGATAAGAATAAATCAACTGATTCCAAGAACTGTGATCCCAGATGTGAACAAAAGTGTGAGAACAAATGCCAGCCCAGCTGTTTGAAGAAGCTGCTACAACGGTGCTCTGAAAAGTGTCCACGGGAAAAGTGCCCGCCACCACCAAAGTGCCCACCATGCCACCCACCCTGCCCTCGCACCTGCCCCCCTCCCTGCCCCTGTCCCTGCCCTACCAAACCCTGTGTCAAGCCCTGTCCTCCTAAATGCCCACCTCCATGCCCCCCGAAATGCCCACCTCCATGCCCCCCGAAATGTCCACCCCCATGCCCCCCGAAAGGCCCACCCCCAGAGTGAGGCATCTCAGGCACCAGCTGGCCCACCACGTCCACCATCTCTGCCACGTTCACCACTGGAGGGCTGAGAGCTAAAGCCATGAACTGACAAGTAAACGAGTTCCTCTGCTGTGCAAGACTTTCTTCTCCTGGCTATTGGTTGTTTTTTGGTTTTTGGTTTTTGGTTTGGCTGGCTTGTAGTCCAGCACTAAACCACCCTAAGAGGTGTCTGGGAGTGAGACCAGGAGGCCAGGGCTTCCCTCTGATGGGAGGGTGCCTGAGAGACCCTTAAATAAGGCTGTGGGGTGGCCATGCCAGGAACTCAGGTGAACCAGAGGGAAGAAGAGGGTGTGAGGGGGTGAGAAGTGGGGTGTGGAGGGAGGAGCCAGGAAAGCTTAGGAAATAAACCCCTGCCCTTTCTCTCTTAGTACCACAGCTCTTAGCACCATAGTGTAATGCTAGAGCAGCGGACTCTGCAAACAGGACACATGGATTTTAAAGCCGGCCTCTGCTCCCTGACAGCTTTGTGACCTTAAGTAAGTTACTTAACTTCTCTGAGTCTTAATTACCTCCTCTGTGTTCAAAAAATGATGCCAATATCACTGGTGTCACTGGGTGTGGATTTAGGAGCTGATAAATGCAAATGCCTGGCTTACCGAACAAAAAGAGTACTCAGGGAGCACCCGCAGCTGCCCAGGGGTGACTAGTCAAGTCACACTGGGACTTACTGCCCCGCACACTCATCCACCACAGGCCGAGTCTCCTGAGCATGTCATCCTCAGCTAGGCATTCTTTCAGCAAAAGTGGAAAGGGATGTGAACGACACCAGTGTCAGGCAGACTGTGACGGTAGGCTGTAGTAAGGACACGTGCTGCCACTGAGAGGACCCCATGAATTTCTGTTTTTACAACTGCCTGTGAATCTGTAAGATCTCAAAAGAAAAATTTAAATAGAAAACAAAAAGAAAAAGATGAATCTAGACCTCAGTTAGGAACACACAGGCAAACATTTAAAACTGATGGGTTAGTGGGGGTTATTCAAGTAACTAGAGAGAGTCCATGTCAAGCTAGTGTAATTCACAAAAGGGAATTCATGGGTTCATATTGCTGGGAAAGCTAGTAGGCTCAGGAGAGGCAGAGAATTGAAGGACTATAGGACCCAGGGCTTGAGGGTCTGGGAGAGTGGGCTCACTATCACCACTCAACCCCACCCCCCTGCCCAACCTCCACGCTTCAGGGCGACTACCTTCTCTCCTCCATCTCTGTGGTAAGGTCCTAGGCCAGCCTGCAGCTTTGCATCTGGGGACAGGTGGAGCACGAGGGCGCTCCTATTAATTCCAGGAAAGGAGGAGGGCATGAGCTCACCCCTGGGGCCAAGTGGGTGGGAGGGCTTTGCCACACAGATAACACCAGGTCATCATCACAGCCCACAAATTTCAAGCCAAAGTTGGTGTAGGATTCTTTGCTGTCAGTGACACCAGTGCTAAGAGGTCATGAAAGAGGCCACATCGGGGCCACATCACGGCATTCCAATGGCTTGCCAACCTTCCGAGTCAGTGGGATGGTTCAGGACAAGAAAGGATGTGATGAAGATGGATCCAAAATGTGTCCCGCACACACACCTGCCAGATCACGGAACTGGCCGGTGAGAGAAGCAAACGTTCAGTCCCAGCAGCCCGCCAGGTGCAGCCACTCACTCCTCAGACGTGAAAGCCAGTCATCTCCTCTAATGTGAGGGAGCCTTGGCATCTCAGGCTTCTGCTAAGAGTGTGCGCCTAGCACCGAGGTTCCACACTCCAGGGCCCTGCCAAGGGGCATCTCCTGGACCCTGGGCACCTCTGAGAGCCTGTTTGGCCTTAGGGGGGGGCCTGTGGGCCACTGTTGAGAGCAGCCGGCAAGCTCTTCCACCCTCATCAGAAAGAAGGGGAAAGAAGAGGAGAGAGAGAAAATAGGACCATAATGTGACCTCCTCTGTCATCTAATAATGATCATTTTTTTCCCTATTTCTTAATTCAGTTTGAAATGGTCATTTTTAAATAATAAATCTCAGAATATCAGTGCTAAATTGTATGTCGCTGTTGTTGGGTTTGTATAGATAGACAAAAATCCTTTCTTGAAATCATTTGAGAAATATCAAAATAAACTGTTCAACACTGATGCAATTGTTTCACCTCTTGGAATCTATACAAAGAAAATTAATACAAAAATGAAGTAAAATCTATATAAAGTGGATTATCACAGTGTGACTTAGAAACAACTTAAATAGTTAGCAGGGATTTGGACCTACTACTTGATGGAACATTATACAGTCATTAAAACTTACTAAGGAGGGAGAATCAAGGCCTTGCTTGAATGCATAGCATAAAGCACCTATGTTTAACTAAAAACTTTTATGAATAATAATGATAATGATAGAAGGAAATTTATCAACACTTTAATTCTTCTAGGACAGTGGAGTTAGAGGTAACCAGTGGAGTATCTCTATTTTTACTGGTTTCTGGATCTCAACAATAGGTTTTTATTTCTTTGCTAATTGAAAAAATAGAAATAATGAAACTTCAGAGACCCCCTCAAAGTCCTTTCATTTGTTCAGTAAACAAACCCCCCCCCAAAAAAAAAGAAAGGAAAAGGAGAAATGTCTTCCTACACCCGATACTGTGTAGAAGGCCCCCCACCTTGGGTGCCTGATACTGTATAGAAGGCCCCCCACCTTCAAGGTGCAGGTTCCCCAGGTCTGCCAGGGGGTCCATGGTGTGTCGACCCACGGCTGGCCCTCTCCCAGGTGGTCTGAGGAATCTCAGCACAGACTGGGCGGGACCCAGCGCTGACAACATGAAACCATCCATTTGCCAATTCAGTTCCCTTTTCTCCCATGTAAATGAAACCAAAGATAGACATCTCTTAATGGCTACTTTCCCAGCAAAAAAGCTGGATCAAAGGCAATTCCAGGGAGGGTGGCTCGGACGTGATGAGTGTGCCGCCTTCTCGTGGAAGCTCGTAATTACCCCGGGGCCAGCGGCGGCCGCCCAGGGCTCTACCCCATTGGTAGAGGGTTGTACAAATAAATAAGCGATATCTGAAGAGAGGCACCCCAGGAACCTGCTCACAGATACCATGGTGAGGCAGGACCAGGCTCCCCTTCAGGGAAGCAGGACAATGACGAGAGGACTCTGCCACCACTCCACAGCCAGAACCAAGTCAGCTGGGTCAACGGGCTGCAAGATGGGCCAATGCCTAAAAGGACCGGCACAGGTGTCTCTCTTTGGAGCCGGAAGGAACCTGAGAGGTCGTGTGCAAGCAGGCCCCACCTGCATGCATCCATCGCGGTGGACCAGGAAGGAACAGTTACCATTTTTTTTCACCTGTCTATTTCACCACTTTATTCCTGTCCTGACACAAGCGCAGACACTTCCTAGGAGCCCATGTTGATGATGACAGGTCACAACTGCTTCTACATCATAGCTGTTGATACTTGACAAATAACAGATGGGTGAATACACTAAGTCATCTGTCAAACACATAAAGGTCCTAACATACAAGCCGATCATAAAGTGCACACCAGGGTATTTGCAGCTTCACGTGTCTTCCAGGTGCATGAAACCTCAGGTGCATCACCTCCACAGCGTTGTGCTTTCTCCCAGGCTCAGAGGAAACACATGGCTTTTTCCACCAGAAATGGCCTCCTTACCTCTCACCTACAACACTCAGATCCTCCTAACCGACTTCCAAAGCTCCCGCTCACTTTCCTCCAGCCCTCCCTCCAACAGAAGCAGAAGGCAGTCTTGCTAAAACGCAAATCTAAACATGTCACTCTCTTTCTTAAAATCCTTAAAAACGTTCCTTAAAATGTTCCTCTTTATCTAGAGAGCAGCCCAAGAGGCTTCACCTGTCACCAGAACTCCGGAGGAGCTGATCCTTGCCTCCTCCCACGCTGCCTCCCCTCTGCTCCATCTCCCTCCAGGAGGTGGACGGGTAGCTGCTAGCATCTCCTGGCACAAGGCAGGCATTTCTGGCCTTTGTGACTTTATACTTGTGTCCCTGTCATTTGTCCTTCTTCCACTGAGTCCTCCTCTGAATCATCCATGTGGGCAAGTCCTCATCTCTGATCCAACTCAGGGGTCACCTGCTCCAAGAATCTTCCCCGCCTCCCATCCCAAGGCTGGTTAGAGGTGCCTTTGTGTGGTCTCCAGGCCCCCATTCCTTCCCTTCCTGTAACACCCCACCAGACTTGTTCAGCTGTTGACACTGGTCTATACAGTCTTTCAGAGCAGAGACTCCTGGCACGCATAGCAGTGACAATAAATGCATGGGCGCTCAGCACCTCTGGAGACACGTTCCAAAGCAGACGGGATTTCTCCAGGTTTAACTCCTGTTCACTGTGCTCCTTAGCCTTGCTACATGGCGTCAGTCCCAGAAAGTGGAGGTGGGGACAGAGGTGGTGAGATGGCTGTGGAATACCAGGGCTGGGAGAAAGACACACTGACCTTCCTCAATTCCCCTTAGGCCGCAGCTTCAGATCCTGCCAGCCCTTCCCTGGCCTCCCCAGGGAGGTGCCGCCTGCCTCCCAATGCCGCCTTCTCTCCTGGGAAGGCAGCAAGGAACAGGGAAAGGTGAAGGGAAAGGCTGGTCCTCACCCACACGGGGACTTGAAGTGAGCTTCCACGCCAGCGGTGTGCCCTGGGCCAGCGGCTCCACCTCTGTGAGAGAAGGGTCTCAGTTTCTTCACCTGAAGAATAAGAAGGCTGGCCAAAGTTTAGAGAGGAGCAATGAAAGCGTGTGAGGGGGCAGAGAGAAAAGGAACTTGGCCAAGAGGCAGCAACTCACAAGACCCAGGACTGATGCTCACACGTATCGTCTGCCGTCACAAGAGCTGCGCGCAGCGGTGGGTTTGAGGGAGGAAAGGGAGCTCAGGAAAAGGAAAGAAAATATCTTTGAAGGCAAGTAGAGTCGGGGAGACTCCCCTCCCCCTTGCCCAAGCTGAGCCCCAGGAGACCACGAATCAGAGTAGAAGCCAGAAGAGGACTTTGCATCACAGGAAATGACAGCCAGGTGGGGCATGTGATGTCGCCTCCCCTTCAGGTGAGAAAACTAAGTTCAGAGAGAGAAACAACTTCACCAAAGTCACAACGAGTGAGTGGGAACATCTGGATTTCTAGATCTTGATTTAGGCC